TTCCCTCCCATTCCACCAACATTTGGAGTCACCATTAGGCTTGGAATTGAAAAGAAAAACTATTATTCCTAAAAAATACATGCTAATAATGAACTACCCAAACTTCAAGTTATTTTAATATTTTTGAGATTCAGCTTACTCATGTATAAAAGGAAGTAAGTTTAGGTCACCACTCCAAAATATGACTGACAAATTTCTAAACCCCAATGATAGGGATTCTGAAAATATATATTTGAAGTGGAACGCAGGAACTTTCTAAAAGGCACCCAGGTGAGTCTACTGATGCTTGGGAATCACTGATAAATGCTAAGCCTCCTTTTGGTCTAATGTTCCAAGATTCTAAGCTGGAATTTTCACTGCCTATTCTGATATTGTTACAAAAAGAGTGTAGTTTCCAGTTATTGGTATTAGAGTTCAAGTATGTTACTGATTAAATAGGCCTTTGTAACCTGACCTAGCACCTAAGCACCATTTATATTATCATTTTATGACCACAGCTGACTCACAAAAAATGTGTAAAAATATGTCTGCAGGCTGGGGACCATTAGTATTATAACAATGCTAAACTTCAAAGAAAAACGCTAAAAATTGTTTCTTTGAGATTATGTGCGTAATAGAATTTTTCACAGATGGCTTTTTTCACAGATTTTTGTAAACTACTAAGATTTGACCTACATGTCAGAAATAAAGGTAGGAACAGCATTCTCATTAAGATCTTTTACTTTGCAAGTTCACTGATAGGCTTTGTGTATCATTGGAATAAAGCCTATCAAAATCTATCTAGATCACTAGGGGAATTCAGGGCATTAAAACGCTTTGAGAACTGTCTCATTCAAATGATTACAGACTGCCAGGACTCCACCTGCCCAGAAGCACAGCAGATCATTCACTTATGAACTTCACATATCTATTCTAGCTCTGGTAACTTCCAACTACCAATTCTCATTATAAATAATTCAGGCTTAAAGACATGTTTCAGCATGTCAGAACTAAGCAAGTACAAACAGCACTTGAAGACATAACATATTAGTAGTGTGTTAAGTGGAACCTATTGATTTATGAATAAATGGTGAATATTGGAAATTATTATAAAAAGGTAAAAATGGAAACAGAATCACATACTAGTCATTTTTTTCTTTAATATGTACTTACTTAAATTTCTAAAAAATAGCATGATAAATTAGTATAAAGTGTATCCACTGATTTCTCCATTTCTCCAAACAACATAAAAATCTATAGTGAATGCCATTATGTAAGTGCATTCTCTGATTATCAAAAATGATGCAATGGTTGTCATAACAACTACTCATTTTATTAAATAAACTGTGGGTTGGGGTTTAAAGCAACCTTTTAAGAAACAAATTTCAACATCTTAACTATGCCCCATAAGTCTCTCTCTGCTGCTACCTATTAAACAATAACTACAGTAGTTATTTAGAATACGATTGAATCAGCTACCTAAAAAGCTAGGCTTAAGTTGCCAAAGGAAGAAAACTGAATTTAAAGTTTGAAAAATTAAACACATCAACTATATTCAAAGGAGCAAAAGACACTTTTAATCTTGTAGAGCAATTGAAGTGTTTGTAAATCAAAGCAACATGATCTTACATGTCTGTTCCATTGAATGACATAATTTTGTTTCTAATTCTAAATTAAATATAAGACTAACACTAGAAGACTTTTCGGTTTGCAATTAAGCTAAAACGAGAGCCAAGTAGTTATTCCTCATTTTGATTTTTATTAGAAATTTCTCCTGGTCATACAAAAAAATGGAATTTTCAGTCAGTATATTATAAAATAGCTCTGTAAAAAGGCCTATAGTTAAAACTGCCAAGCATAACTGTAGACCTCCAACTATAAACACTACTTAGACACAAGCAAAAGCTACTAAGCCTTCTTCCTTTGCTCAAGATCTTCCATAGGAGAGTTCTCAGGAAAGGCCGGCTTCTCTGGGGAATCTGTGTTTTCAGGATATTATTCAAAAGCTAAACCTATATTATTCAACCTTACACTCATGATCCAGTTCTTATTATCCAGTGAATGTTTTGCCTTCTTCATTCTACCCCAACTTATTTCCTTCCCCAAACCCCACACCTGTCTTTTGAGCCACGCTTCTCTTGCTCAGGCCCACTTCCACGTCTGGAAGTGTACTTTTCCTTCTAATAAAACTTTTTTCTACTATAAAACAACAACAACAACAACAACAACAAAACCCACACCTCACATAGTCTCAGCTCTGCTAATCATACCTATCCAATCAATGATCACCCCATTCTCATCAATTTATATCCTCTTACACAAATTCTAGGTCTACTTACTTCCTGTTCCCCATTTTCCCTCCCATTCCACCAACATTTGGAGTCACCATTAGGCTTGGAATTGAAAAGAAAAACTATTATTCCTAAAAAATACATGCTAATAATGAACTACCCAAACTTCAAGTTATTTTAATATTTTTGAGATTCAGCTTACTCATGTATAAAAGGAAGTAAGTTTAGGTCACCACTCCAAAATATGACTGACAAATTTCTAAACCCCAATGATAGGGATTCTGAAAATATATATTTGAAGTGGAACGCAGGAACTTTCTAAAAGGCACCCAGGTGAGTCTACTGATGCTTGGGAATCACTGATAAATGCTAAGCCTCCTTTTGGTCTAATGTTCCAAGATTCTAAGCTGGAATTTTCACTGCCTATTCTGATATTGTTACAAAAAGAGTGTAGTTTCCAGTTATTGGTATTAGAGTTCAAGTATGTTACTGATTAAATAGGCCTTTGTAACCTGACCTAGCACCTAAGCACCATTTATATTATCATTTTATGACCACAGCTGACTCACAAAAAATGTGTAAAAATATGTCTGCAGGCTGGGGACCATTAGTATTATAACAATGCTAAACTTCAAAGAAAAACGCTAAAAATTGTTTCTTTGAGATTATGTGCGTAATAGAATTTTTCACAGATGGCTTTTTTCACAGATTTTTGTAAACTACTAAGATTTGACCTACATGTCAGAAATAAAGGTAGGAACAGCATTCTCATTAAGATCTTTTACTTTGCAAGTTCACTGATAGGCTTTGTGTATCATTGGAATAAAGCCTATCAAAATCTATCTAGATCACTAGGGGAATTCAGGGCATTAAAACGCTTTGAGAACTGTCTCATTCAAATGATTACAGACTGCCAGGACTCCACCTGCCCAGAAGCACAGCAGATCATTCACTTATGAACTTCACATATCTATTCTAGCTCTGGTAACTTCCAACTACCAATTCTCATTATAAATAATTCAGGCTTAAAGACATGTTTCAGCATGTCAGAACTAAGCAAGTACAAACAGCACTTGAAGACATAACATATTAGTAGTGTGTTAAGTGGAACCTATTGATTTATGAATAAATGGTGAATATTGGAAATTATTATAAAAAGGTAAAAATGGAAACAGAATCACATACTAGTCATTTTTTTCTTTAATATGTACTTACTTAAATTTCTAAAAAATAGCATGATAAATTAGTATAAAGTGTATCCACTGATTTCTCCATTTCTCCAAACAACATAAAAATCTATAGTGAATGCCATTATGTAAGTGCATTCTCTGATTATCAAAAATGATGCAATGGTTGTCATAACAACTACTCATTTTATTAAATAAACTGTGGGTTGGGGTTTAAAGCAACCTTTTAAGAAACAAATTTCAACATCTTAACTATGCCCCATAAGTCTCTCTCTGCTGCTACCTATTAAACAATAACTACAGTAGTTATTTAGAATACGATTGAATCAGCTACCTAAAAAGCTAGGCTTAAGTTGCCAAAGGAAGAAAACTGAATTTAAAGTTTGAAAAATTAAACACATCAACTATATTCAAAGGAGCAAAAGACACTTTTAATCTTGTAGAGCAATTGAAGTGTTTGTAAATCAAAGCAACATGATCTTACATGTCTGTTCCATTGAATGACATAATTTTGTTTCTAATTCTAAATTAAATATAAGACTAACACTAGAAGACTTTTCGGTTTGCAATTAAGCTAAAACGAGAGCCAAGTAGTTATTCCTCATTTTGATTTTTATTAGAAATTTCTCCTGGTCATACAAAAAAATGGAATTTTCAGTCAGTATATTTATAAAATAGCTCTGTAAAAAGGCCTATAGTTAAAATTGCCAAGCATAACTGTAGACCTCCAACTATAAACACTACTTAGACACGAGCAAAAGCTACTAAGCCTTCTTCCTTTGCTCAAGATCTTCCATAGGAGAGTTCTCAGGAAAGGCCGGCTTCTCTGGGGAATCTGTGTTTTCAGGATATTATTCAAAAGCTAAACTGTATTTTGAAAACCTGCCCCAGATCTCTTCCTCCTCCGCCTAAATAAATACTAAGATCAAACATCTGAATATGGTGAGTGGGGAATGGATGGAGCCCCTGCCTCTTTTAACAAGGTTAAGTCCAGTCACCTAAAAGGCCTGCTGACTTTGCAGCCCTTGAAGCCAATAAGAAGCTCCGACACGGCCTGGCTAAACCCGTAGGGCTGAGGTTCTAAGAAGGCGGTCTGTCTGATCCCGCACGAAATCAGTCTGGTCAATCGCGAGAGAGCGAGGGCCAACTCGGCCGTATTTCAGTCCGCCTTTCTCAAATGGATTTTACTTGCTGTCTCTCGCAACCAGCGACCTCCACCTTCTCTGTGAGGGCGTATGTATTTGTGTGTGGTGACAATAATCTCAGCACTGCGGCTGGAGATTGGAGGAGCTGGGGACTCAAGTTCTTCCACAGGCCTGGAACTCTTCTGAAGGGCCTTAGTAGAAAATGGGGCGGGAGGAGCGCGCCAGACGCCGACGGAGGACTCGACCATAAAGGGTCCGGGCCTGGGAGAAGCTGCACTGGCAATGGCTGACGTGCAGCTCCTTTGGGTTGTAATGGTGGGACCTTGGCCGGAGTGGAGAGGGGACAAGAGGCTGAGGCGATGATGCCTCCCCGCGCCACCGCCCAGCTCGCTGTTTACCTTCCCGGTACTTCTTGCGGAGCCTCCTGTGTACGCTCTTCACCACCCCGGACAGCTTCTCTTGTTCCAGCTTCCGCTCCTGCTCCCGGGGCGGCGGAATGTTCAGGAACCCGGACTCGTGTCCGCGAGCAATACTTCGGCCACTAGCCCCGAGCTCCATATCGCTGCCGCTGCCGCTGCCGCCGTCGCCGCCGTCGCCGCCGCCGCCAGCCCTTGGGCCCCCAGAAGACACCCGCCCGATGAAGGAGGTGTGGAATGAGGCAGCAGCGGGAGGAGGCGGAGGAGTCCGAGCGAAGGGCAGAAGGTGGGCTTACCCAAACGCATAAGCTGATTGGCGAACTATCGAGGGCTGGGCGGAAACGGAAAAACCTAAGGGCCAATGGACGGAGAGTGCCGGGGGCGGGGTGCACCCGGTTGTTTGGGAAGGCTAGCAGCTGGAGGAGGCGGGGCCAGCAAGCTGAAGAGAGCTAAGACAGTCAGAGTCCTAAAACCTACCGCTCCACCTTTCTTACCGCCTCGGCCCGCCGCGATTCTGTGCGCAGGCGCTGTGATGCGGCCATGAGAGACCGGCTTTGCGCCACGCGCTTGCGCGTCTGAGTTTGTTAAGGTCGATCGTGATTTTGACGTCCAGCTTGCTCACGTTCTCAGGCCATCCCACCGACTGTCCGTTATTTTATGGTGTGATGAGGCCAGGGTCCGCTACTTGATCCCCCGCTGCACTTTGTCACTTGTAGGTTCTTTAGCTGAGTAGTACTAAGAAGCACTTTTGAGATGACTTGACAGCACTGGAATGCTACACTTTAAAGTATGCTTTCTATGGCGCAAGGAGAAGTCTGGCATTTAAACGGACCAGCAGTGGCTAATGTCTATAGTCCCCGTGCTGGGCGAAAAACAGAAAATGGAGAAAGGAGAGGGCCAAGAAAATCAAGAGAATAATGGGCAAGAAGGAAGAATTGATGGAGAACCTACAATAGATGCCATCAAGAAACTCTGTGGTGCCCTGGGCATTACAGGAATCTTGTACTACTCTAATTAGCATCAGAACTTTTGAGCACTTTTAAAGTAGGCTTGAATGACTTCCCATTTTTCAGTTTGGTGAGTTAATATGTGCGGAGTGTATAAAGTGGTTTGAGCAACCTGTTCCTCCCCTCCTCCTCCTCTCTCTTCTCATGAGAAGATCACCGGGAATGTGTTTGCTGACTTATGTACCAGAAATGTGGAATACTGCATACCAAAGAGAAGTAGACTCTGTGATTAGCTCCTGAAGTGGCGCTGAGGCTGCTGCAGTGTCAAATATTCAATAGCTGAGAGCTTGTAATGAATTGTGTTAGGTTGTAGCATACCCTTGCACTGCGGTTGTTGGTTACATCAGAGGACTCTAAACTTTTGGGCACCAGGGACCTGTATCATGGAAGACAGGTTTTCCACAGACCGGTGGGGTGGGGGTGGGGGAGGCCAAGAATGGTTTCAGGATGATTCACGCACATTACATTTATTGTGCACTTTATTTCTATTATTATTACATAGTAATATATAATGAATTAATTATAAAACTCACCATAATGCAGAATCAGTGGGAGCCCTGAACTTTTTTTTCCTGCAACTAGACGGTCCCAGATGGGGGTGATTGGACATAGTGACCCCCAAAGTGTCCAGTCTACCTGTAATCTCATTTTGGTTGCTCTCACTGCAAAAAACTCTGCTTTGCAAAGATAGAATGTTGGAAATGGGAATAGGCTTTTCAGTGCTTTTGTGGCGACCTCAGGATATTCCGCCTTGACTTTAATCCAGAACGTATGGAGATTTGAAGTCATCTCAAACATACTTTTAAAGCCACTGTCATTTGTGATCTCAAGCAGTTCTTTTGAAAGCTGAGATAGGTGATCATGCATCAGCTAGGAGAAAGAAGGCCCTGGCTCAGTCTCTTTTAAAATCTCTGCCAATGTTTGAAACATGTCAAAAATCTCAATGTTCACTCGTTGCCCCCATAATTTCGGTTTGCCTTTGAATGCAGCCACTTTATCTGCCGACTTGAATACAGTTGTCATTGTCCCCTGAAGTGACAGATTGTGTTGGTTAAGCAATTTTAATATGTCATATGAGTAAGCAAGTTTTGTGAGCCATTCTGTGTCACTGAAATGTGCTGCCAATGGTGACTATTTTTCTAAAACAAATCTCTGGAGGGGCTCTCGTAACTCACAAATGCTAGCCAGTGATCTCCATTTAGAAAGCCATCTCACTTCTGTGTATGAGAGAGGACGTGTGTGTTCTGTGTCCATCTCCTCACAGAGCTGCGTGAACAGACGTGAGTTAAGGGCATGTACTTTAATGTGGTTGATAATTTTAATCACATCCTGCAGAATGCCGTTAACTTCAGGTGACATTTTCTGGCTAGCCACCATTTCTCTATGGATGTCACAGTGTATAGACTCACATTCAGAAGCGACCTCTTTGACCCGAGTAGTGAAACCAGAAAGCCATCTAGTCATGACAGCCGCTCCATCCGAGCATATACCAACACAAAATGACCAGTTCAGTTTTCCTGATATGTGATCATTTAAAGACTTGAATTGTTCTGCAGCTGTGGTATTGGTTGGCAACAAAAGTGCACATAACATAGCCTCATGCACATCTTTCTGAAAAATAATATCACACAAAAACAAACATTGTAGCCTTGTCAACATCGGTAGACTCCTCAACCTGGATTGTGTACCACAGTAACTCATGAATCCTTTCTAACAATTGTGCCTCAATATCCTCTGCTATTTCATCAGTTCTTCTAGTTATGGTGCTAGCCAAAAGAGGAACATATGCCACCTTTTAACTGCAGCATCTCCTAAAAGTTAACAATAACTGTCCTTAGCAGCAGGGAGGATCAACTCTTCACCAATAGTAAAGGGCTTCTCTGCTTTAGCCGTGTGGTTAGCCACTAAGAATGATACTCTCAGTGCAGACACATTTGACGAAGTGATGGCCTTCAGTAATTGCTTCCATTCTTCGTGTTCACATTTTTTTCTTTTGAAGAACTCCGATGTCTTGTCTTTTGATGCAGGATGCTTGATCTACATGTGGTGAAGCAGTTTTGAAGGTTTCTTGGCTTATTGGATAGCCGGTTGCCACATATTATACAAAGCGGGCTTGGAGACTGTGAATCACCTGTTGCAATGAACCCATAATTTAAGTAGGACTCTTGGTATTTTCTTTTAAATGCAGCTTTCTTTTGTTGGCAGTCTTAGAGTCTTCTTCTCTCTCATCATTGAGTCCCCCTTTTCAAAGAAGCTTTCCAGTGATTTTTTTTTTTTTTAATTCATTTTGGCTAGGATTAGGTTGTGGACTTACCAAACCTAAGTACGCATTGCTAGAAAGAGGAGCAGATGGAAGTGGTAAATGAAATGGTGGGCGGGCCACGTGCAGACTAAAGTAAGTATCAGATTTGACTTAAAGCCTGCCACCAGATACAGCTTAATTGTCACTTGCCACTCACTAATAGGGTTTTGATATGAATGTACAAGCAATTGATTTGTTATGATCTCTGTGTAGTCAAACCTCTCTGCTCATGTTAACCTGTATTGGCAGCCGCTCCCCGTCTCTAGTATCACTGCTTCAGCTCCACCTCAGATCATCAGGCATTGGATTCATATAAGGAACACACAACCTAGATTCCTCACCTGCGCAGTTCACAATAGAGTTCACACTCACATGAGTATCATAAAGAGAAATTACCCAAACATGCCTAATAAATTAAGGATATGGTGGTCTTATTTGAGGAGATTTTATGTGGGATAAAAGAGGAGCTTGAAAAGACATACTTCTTTTGGCTCTGCTCATATTTTAATATATATGGGATGCAAAAACAGGTGCAAATGTTTGGAAATTACAATCACATTAAAAAGAGCATCAAATTTCATTTGAACTATATAGTTTTTAAGAAAACTTCTTTTCCCCCTGTTACTATTAGCAAACACATTTTTAAATCTTTTTTTAAAATAACGACATACACTGAAGGAAAATTGGAAAATACAGAAAGGAGTAAAGAGAGTAAAAGTTCTAAGAGAGTAGATCTTAAATCTCACCACAAAAAAGAAACAGTAAGTATTGTGATAGTTGTTAATACTCGGGTGATAATCACTTTGCAATTATAAAAGTGTCAAATTGACACATCATACACTTTAAACTTACACAATGTTCTATGTCAATTATATCTCAAAAAAGCCAGAAAAAAAGTAAAAGTCATCTGGAAACTCACCATTGAGAGATAACAACTTTTAGCATTTTTTTTTTTGCATGTAAATACAGTATTTCAAGTGATATATTTCTTGATGTCTGTGTGGTAATCTATTATATGAATAGTGTACTATTTCAGTAACAAATTTCCAGCTATTGTAAATTTATGTGGTTTCCAGTTTTTCTATATTCCAAATAATGCTGTGATGAACAACACCCTTATACACAAATGTTTGTCCATTTCTTTAATTATACATTTCACTAGACTAAATCCTGAAAAGACGAATTTCTGAATCAAGGGTCAAACATGTTAAAGTTTTTGTGTATATTGTCAAATTACCTTTTCTGAAAGGTGGTAGCAGTTTATGTCACCTCCAGCAGTACATTTGAATGTCTCTTTCACTGCACCCTTACCAAATGTGGGTATTACAATTTACAAAGTAAAAAAATTTTTTCAAAGGTCTCTAGTTTTAAGAAATGTAGGAATTTTCTGCTCTTTCTTAATCGGATATTCTGGTTGGCATACTATTTAACATTGAATATTAATACTACAAGTGCAAGTAAAAGGAACTTATTTAAACCTATCTACTTCTCATTTTTCAAGCAGATTGAAGAGCTTAATATTTCAAATTTGTTTTTTTTTTTTTTGATTTAACAATTTCTTTGGGATAATTGAAGAAATAGAAATTGCACAAACAGAGGTTAATCTAAATTTGCATGAATTCAAATAGAACAAGGCTGACATGTCCTGAGTTTTCTTGGCAGTATTATGGCAGCTAGCCATAGACCACAGTATAAAAGGAAGTTTATATTTATGCCCTTCTTCCAGTGTTATTAATAACACTGGCAAACGCTTTCTGTCTGTTAAGGTAGCATAAAATTGTTAATGAAATTATATATTAAGTAAAATGATTGTCATAATTGTTCATAAGGATTCATTACAAGAAGTAGATTTGGTGCTTTTTTTCTGGCTTTATTGAAATAGACAATTAGTTGCTCGTATTTACATTGTACAATTCAATGAGTTTTTTTTTTTCAATTATAGTTGGCATACAAAAATATATTTGTTTTAGTTGTACAGCATAGTGATTAGAGATCTATATAACTCACAAAGTGATCACTCCACTAAATCTAGTACCTCTCTTCCCC